ACTAAGTCAAGAAGACCGGAGGCGAGAGAGGGCACAGTTGGGTGGCGCTGCCAGAACCGCCCGTAAGGATGACGTCAAACCTATTTTCGGTCTCACGGAGATGGTGTGCCATAAGGGCCATATCAAGAAGAAACTATTGCCGCCTGACTGTACCCGAAACATACCACACGATACATGCAGTCCTGACTGGAGTTGAACACAACAGCGCAAACTGCTGAATGTGCACTACTGGTCTCTGTTTGGCGGCGCTTGGGTCTAAGGCAGTCCTAATATGTCTCCGTCGCGCTAGCTTCACCGGGACATAGTACTCAAGGACATGCCACCGCTACATGAACCTACTCGGCCACATAAAACTATTAGAAAACCTGAGACAAAATACCGTAGACCTTGGCCCCACCCGACCATACGCCAAACACTAAGCCACATGACACACGGAGTGAACATGCACAGCTCACGCCGTCAGTGAGGAACGCGTTCTTTAGCGCAAGCTAGTGCCTAAGCGGATTATGTGTGCCAAAGTCAACCGGATTGCTGTAACTCTGACAGCCATTGCACCCAATCCCAGCGCCAAATAACCGGACAGTCAGGAAAGCGTGGGCTTGCTTCGAGGGAATATACACCCAAGGCGCCTAAGCGCGTCCCTCACTAAAATACGCTTTCGAGGCCTTTTGGAACTATCACAATGCGCTAAAACTCGGGGTTTTGAGGCCTACCGGCCAAATGGATAACGCGATTCTCGTGTGGGGAAACTGGCCGTCAGGTTTCACGACCCCTTTTTCTTTTGGCCTCTATAACACTACCTGTAACTGAGATGCACCTGGTGGGTCGGGCACGAAAATGGCGTTTGTGGCAAGCGAAGATCGGATTGTTTAGCTTGGTCAGTCACGGCGCCAGGGCCCAGCTCAAGCCGTCTTGACATTATTTCGCCATAAATGTTATGTAGCTGATGAAGTAGAGAGAGAGTATGTGTGCGGTAGATGCTGCAGCAGTCACTGTCACCGTAAACAAACTCACGCACGAGCCACTCGTGTTGCGCCCACTTCATTTGACACAAACGGCACAGATTATCGATCTCAGGGATCCAACCACAGCGGAGCCTGTTGTGGGAGGGGGAATGAGCTAGTACCCACCGTAAGGCCCACGTTAACGCAACTACTGACAAAGTCCTGCCTTGCTAAAATCGAAAAAGAAACCGTCCAACTATCAGAGCAAAACGCTCATGGCCCTCGAGCCAAGCAAAATTCGCATTTGATGGGAACCACACAGTGGCAGGAACCGAAGCCGGAATGTGAGGCAAAACAGATACAGGAGGAGTAAATGCGGTCGGCGAGGCTCACCTGGCCCCAACAGGCTGCAATGTGGATGGCAGCCCAGCCATCACGATCCTGCAGATCGAGTGAAGCGCCATGTTGTAGGAGGAAGCAGGCTACATCCAGGTAGCCACAGGCTGCAGCGATGTGTAGCTGTGGGGGAAGGGGGGGGAGAGGAAAGGCAAACAAGTTAAACTTAGCTGAATCGCGAGCTACTTTTCAGTCACATTTATCGATCACGACAGACATGTAAAAATCATTCCAACTCAAGGCTGAGAGATAAGCGAAGACGAACAGGGTCAGATAAGCTCCACCGAGCGAACACCCGCATAGAAAAACTATTTACATGTACCTCGTGTAATGTAAGAATACGTTTACATTAAACCACAGAGGTATATTTTCGATTGACGTGTTATCATTTGCTTAAGTCTGCTTTCTTTTACCTTTAAACTTGGACTTAAAAAGAATTGATTTTTAGACCTACCTGTTAGTTGGCACCAAAAAATTTTATTTTTATAGTCTTAGGGCTCCTGTTTGCTTCGGTGCGAAGGCACCCAAAAAAGGTTATTAAACAGCTTAAGAGCGAAATCAATCTCATAAAGACAACATAAAATATTCGAAAGTTGACAGAACTCACGGGGGCGGCACCCTGTTCCCCTAATTGGTTAAGATCACCGCCACTCTTTATCAATGTCTCCATGGCTGACATCATTTCACGTTCGGGAACACGTCGTTTCTCGTCAATGTCTTCTTGAGTGATGCCTGTGAGGGAAAAAGACGCAGTTTAGGAAAATCAAGGAGACCAATTGTTTTTCAAAAAAGTCAACCGCGCCCTTAGGGTCACAGCACTCCAGACAGTAAGCATACGGAACAGTTTGTTCCACTCGTCAAAATGTAATCGCTTAATAAAAGGGCAATACAAAAGAAAGCAAAAAGGAAAGGCATTCGGCGTGGGACACCTACAAGCTGCAATGACGGGTATACGTCAGATAAGTAAAGACTTACCGATAGGATCAACAAACATACTACATACCGGAGTACTTAGAAGAAATTTTACCCAATAAAATGAATTTTTTTGCGGTTTTAAATTATTGTAAATAACTGAAGATTTGTCCAACGATCATATTTTTTCTAAAAATAACGACCGATAGGACGGGGAGGGGGAGGGCGAAGAAACTTAGTTGAGGTGCAAGATGACAAATAACCCGTTTCCACAAAAACGTTTAAAGAAGCGGAAGTGGGCAGGCACTCTTGAGAGAGAGGGAGAGAAAATACCATATAAGACAAATTCCCTGAAAGCTCCACAATGGCAAGGCTGCATACTACCAACTCAACCTGAATTTACAATAATGCAATGATGAATCAACTGTACTGAGCGCAACAACTACTCTTCAGACGCTCGACTGATTTAGGGTTGTCACGGACAAAATGACTTATTGCAGCCGGGTTCTCGGTAGAGAATGGGTTTGCTGCCCATGGGCAGCTGCGCATATAGCCGTTTCTGACGTGCATCAATGTGCTAGGTCCTCTGTTGTGTTCACCGAGGCCCAGAGCGACCTGGGGGTGTGCAATCGGCAGCCTTCTATTCGAACCGGTCGACAAGCACAGTACAGGGAACACATCTAACGTAATTCAGATTTTGGGCTTGCGACAGAGATATTTGTATCTCACAGGATGCACCGGTGAGTTGCGGCCATACACCGTCAGGACAGCAGCCCGGTAGGCTTGATAATGGGTATCTCCCTCCGTATGACAGATGGTTTTTGCACATAACTCTAAAGCGGTACCTATATGCACGCCCTTACCCTAACCTTAATCCACAAACCAATCACCACACCCCCAGTCCCGCCGTGGAATTTAACACGGGTGGGGGGGTCCTAGTCCCATCTTCTGCCCGCGGGTATTCCGCAGATTTTTTAAGCAGTCCGATTAAATCATTATTTAAAAAACTTGTATCAGAGCACGTTTTTACTCCATAGTCGCCTAATACTCTCTACGGCAGTCATAATCGCGTGGATCACATACCAACCCTGGCTCCCAGGCAAATCCGATAAACTACTCTTACTGAACTCGTCTTACTAAAGAGTTAGTTGAACAGTTGCATTTAGGCATAAGTGGAATTGTGTTTACTTTTTTGGACGATATGTCTCGCTAGAGATTCCGTGGTAATTCCTTCGTACCATTTACACTGCGATTTTCCCGGTGTGCCTGCTCTAATTCCTTACCTGGCCTTGGTTATCAAGTAGTGCAGTCTGCGTTATCCTCACATTTATGACATTTCCTAAAAAATCGAACAGACTTCTTTCCGCCCTTTTTTCCTTCGGTAGCACAGACAAATAGGTATCCACCCCTCATAACACAAGTGTGTTACCTATTCCCATACTCTAACCCTAATCCAAGCATTAACCCTAAACTCAAAACTCCCTGGAATTTAGCGCTGAGCCATCTGCATTACGGAGAGTTTCCATGCCTGTAAGTGTTCCCTAAACGGGCCGCGTAGTAGACGCGCTGGACCAAGACGGGGGCAAGATCAGGGCATACTTGTATTTTATTCGATTAGCTCCAGTTGTTGGATGAATCGGCGGAAACAGTAGCTTATGTAGCCCCACTCATTAACCCCTACAACCTGCATGTTTTCCTACGAAATGGTGCTTATCGGGTTTTATGGGCGGGAAATTAGGACAAGCAGC